GTGTGTGGCGCAAAGGTGTAAGATGGAATTCAGTGTGGGGAAGTATTAGGTTCTTCGCTCTAGTAACTATAATAGAAAAGTAGATTTTTTTTAACAGGTATGAAATGTTACTGTTGTTGTTCACGATGACTTGGCTACACTCTGAAGGAATACAGGGGGTTAATTTGCAAGTACAGCAAGCGATAAAGAAAGTGAATGGTTGTTGCCCTGTCTAGCGAGGGGTTTGAGAGCACGCCTGCAGTATTCTGTGTTGTTTTAATGTCCTTATCTAAAGAAGGATGTAGTTGCCTGGATGTGAGTGCAGTAGAGATTCACGAGGTTGGCTCCTGGGATGAGACGCGAAGTAAACTGAGTGTATATTTTCTGGAGTTTAGAAGAATGACAGGTGATCTTATTGAAATGTCATCAGCTGCGCAGGGCATCTCTGGGCTCTTATTTCAAATATTCTTTTGTACAAAAATTGAAGTCAAGTAACGTAACTCCTAGCATCTCCTGTGAGCTGGACTGTCTACAGGCTTAGGAATGGCCAATTTGATAATTTAGCAGGCAGAGTCTGCTCAATTCTGGGTAGGTTCTGTGCCATTCATACTAGGTTGTACCCAACTGTGCATTTTTAGCTAATCTGAGCTAAAAGATAGTGCTCATGTTATAATTGACTTTATCGTCCCAGAACTACAACGAACAGGAGCTCCTGCTGCTGATCGCGATCAGTAACACTTTCAGGAAAGGACACATATATGGACAAGATATGATGGGAGCACTGAGTTCAGCAGTTCATGTTAACACTTTCTTCATCTCACACATTAATACTTGACCTGACGAGACATTCTTGGATGATTGTCAGTACCTGTGGAGCAGGATCCCAGCATGTCTTAGGACACAAAAGAAGCTCCACTATGATTATCTGGAAGCTGTCAATTTTGATTGACAGCACGGACAGTGAAGTGAGCCTATCCTTACATTTAGAATATGGAATAGACAGACTATGCCTAATAACTAGGTTGTTGACTTGCTCCCCATGAGAACCATGCCTCTAGGAATTCTCGTGCATGTCTATGTTTGGCTTGGGCTACTATGGTTACCTTGTCCCAGTTAAACTGATGGCCTTCATTGTCTGAGTGTACTGATCTTAAGAAAAGTTTGTCGTGTTGTTTTGCTGCTAGCTGATGGTCGTTTATTCTGATGGCTAGTTTCCTTCCTGTCCACCCGATGTAATGTTTGTGGCAGTCGTTGCGTGGTATTTTGTAAACCACGTTGGTCCTGCCTGTTGTGGGAATGGGGTCTTTAATCCTTGTGGGTGTTTGTCATAGAGTGGCTGTGGGCTTGTGTGCCACCATGATTCCTAGTGGTCTTAGGAGTCTCGTTGTCAGTTCTGACATGTTCTTGATGTAGGGCAGTGTGGCCAGTGTGTTAGGGCATACTGTGTCCTCTTGTTGTTGTCTATTTAGTAGGCACCTGCGGATGAAGTTGTGGGGATATCTGATCATAGCGAAGACTTTGTATAGGTGCTCTGCTTTTTTCCTGTGTAGTTCTGGCGTGTTGCAGTGAGTGGTGGCCTGTTTAAATAGTGTCCTAATACAGCTTTGTTTGTGGGCCTTGGGGTGGTTGCTGTGGAAGTTGAGGATTTGGTCAGTGTGTGTTGCTTTCCTGTGTACTGAGGTTTGGAATTTCCTGTTGGTCATACGTTCAACTCTGACGTCCAGAAACTGAAGCTGATTGTTTTCTGAAGCTGTTTTCTTCTTCTCTTGTGAATTTAATCCTGGGAATTTAAGTCCTAGAGGTCTGGTCCTCAACCCACAATGCAATCAACAAACATATAGAATTGGACCTCATGTAAAACCCATACAGAATAAAACCGGAAATGACAGGACTCACCATAACGGACCGGACAGTATAAATTCCAAGCGGAGTAGAATAACATCGCTTCATCGGAGGCTTCACTGATGATGTCGCCTCGTATGGTGACGAAACGTCTGAACAAAAAAGTCAACAACCTCACCCACAACCCGAGCTATAGATCTTTGCCAAAACCTGAAATATGCCTCATAATGCTGCCAGTGAAATTCTGAATTGTAGTTGAGTTATAAATCAAGATTATAAGAGCATAAGATGTAGGTGCAGAAGCAGGCCATTCAGCCCATTGAATCTGCCCTTCCATTCAATGATATCATGATAATCTTGAACTCCCCAAAACCCTTGATTCCCTTACTGATCTGTCTGAGTCATGGGCAGTGTTAATCTCATTTTGCTTTTTAAGCTGTCAATATTCAAGAGGCACTGGCAAGGTCAAAAGTTTGTCAATTCTGAGAAGTTGATGGTGACCATTCTGCTTGAACCATCGCAGTCCATATGCTAATGGCCTCTTAATAATGTTTGGTAGGGAGCTCTAGGATTTTGACCTTGACGATGAATGGAAGGTCGGTGTCTGTCCAAGTCAGGTCATTGTGAGACTTGGAGGGGAATTTGAAGGTTAAGATATTGACACAATCTTCCTCCTCACCCTTCTTGGTGGCAGAGATCATGAAGCCAGGAAGTGGTGCTGAAGGATATTTTGGACAGTTGTAGCCATGTTTCCTGTAGATAATATATTGTGCAGGAACTGTATAGAGGATATTGAATTCCGTGACAGAGACACAGATCAAAAAAAAATCTGTTATCCAGCGTAGTGTGGAGTTTGAGCTGTTGCAGCTAGACACTGGCATCCTCTTGTAAACACCTATATAGCCTGCATGCAGTCCAGATCCTAAGTTGTAGGATTGGCATGGGCTGCTTCTTTACTGAGGAAGTGGAGCTTTTATCCCAGTAAATGAGCACTGCGTCTGGAGATGGTAAAATATCAAATTCAGAGCTATGAAATATATTCTTTCAAGTGTGGCTGCTGAACTACCATCAGAGGTGCAGGAGAAATACTAGTGATTCAGGCAAAGGCTTGCTTTCAGCTCTTAGGTCACGTGCATTTAAAAAGAAACTTGTCTTTTCCTTCCGGTGCCTTGTTCACCCACATTGCTGTGTGCACAGGATATGCTGTTGAAACTGTGGGTCACCAGTTCATTACCACAAGCCACCCTGACCACATAACCTGAGAAATACACAGTTGTACGTTGATTGCCCTATGGTTGCTTTGTGAGTGAAACTTGTATCACCTTCGCGCACTGCAAGCCTCCCAAAATTGCTTTGGTGTGTTTTCTAAGTAAAACATTTCTCCCACAGTATTTCATTTCATTATAAATTCATCCTCTAATCTCCTCTTCCCTTATAAAGGCCCAAATTCTTTCTGGAATTCAGTTCTGTGGAGGCTGGTGATCCTTGACACTCCAAGTTATTTGACCGCAGTGTGCGTCACTTCTGATCTATCATCAGTTGATCTTCATACTGTTCTCCCCACACTCCAACAAGGAGCATTAAACTATTGTCAAAAAAAAACTTAACTGATTTTACCCCAAACTCCAAATAGGGACATTGAGACCAATTCTAGCTGCATAACTTACAACAAATAAATTCCTTTCATTCATGTGGTGCCTTTAAAGTAGTAAATCATTCCAAGGTACTCCAAAGAGGTGTAAGTTGCCACTAAATCATGAAAGGAGATATCATGCTGGATACAGTCATTCCCTGCACAGGTATAAAAGGAGAAGTGACCCCTTTTTCCCACATTTCCACATGGTTTGAGTTCCTTTGTTATTTATTTATCGTTTGTCACTTTAATATCTTAAGCCTTCTCTCTTTACCAAACAGACATAATGGCCCAGATCTTCCTTGGTATTGAGAAACAGAAAAGAATTGTTTGCAATTTGATCGTTGAATACATTTTGAGACTTCCCCAATACAACTTCTGCTGTTAATCCTTTCAAATTGCTCCCCACACCTGTAATTAACAGTGTGACTATCCTGGAAGAAAATTTCTGGGTGAATTCAGGGCATCTAGCCCATGGCAGTATAGCTCTATTCATTGGAAGGTTATGTTTTGGGTATACATATCGTGCATTTGTTCATATTTGGACTTCCTCTGAAACCAAGCTCACAACAGGCTGAATGTCCCAAATTTCACCAATGTGTATTTCCTACAATTAGTTTTCAGATTGTGAATTGTCTGCTTGTTATTGTTGAGTTTGAGAAGTGAAATATAAAGCTTATCTATTCCAGTGACCAGTTGATCGCCTCACCATTTTCTTTTTTTATGTAGATTCCTATAGAGTGCACAGCATGGGAAGAGGCCATTCAGGCCAGTTGGTCTGTGCTGGTTTTTATGGTCTATAGTGGTTTCCTCCCACCTTACTTTGTTGAACCTTATCTGTATAACCTATTATTTTCACCCTCATACATTTAACCAGAATCCCCTAATGCACACTGATGCAATTTGCATCAACTATTCCTTTTGCTTTCATTTTTCACAGTCTCAACAATCTCTGAATTTTGTTTTCACCAAATGCCTGAGAAGTATTCTGGGAATCTAAAAGGCCACAGTTGTAGTTATGTTGTATAATCCAGAGATCAGGACCTGGAGTGGACCAAGGAGTTGGGCAGTTTAAATTCAGTTAAATAATAGGAAGGAAATTTGACACCCTGTCACAATATGGTCTGGATATGAGGTCAGACAAACAGATGAGCCATGAGCTTCCTTCATGATTCTACATTCATGGTGGCTTGCCACTACCACATCCAGAGCAGTTATGGATGAGCAATAATGTTTGCTTTGCCAGCAATCCCCTCAAATGAAAAATAAGATTAATCAAAGTGAAACATGACTTGGTACTTGCCTAAAACTGTGCAAAGTAGTATACAGGCATCCTGTATACTACTACTTGAGATAACTAAATATGGACTGGGGATCAAAGCTGGATTTTTCTGACCTCTGTGCTGGGCCACTATGCAATGGGGTCCTGAGCAAATGAGGAAGAATGGAGGGTCTCTCTTTTTAAGGAATTATTTCTGATTTATTACTCTTGATTTGCAAGTTAATGGATATTGCTGCTTTTTTTTCTTCCACGTGCAAATTCCAGTGAGTTTCCTGAAACAGATGAAGACGGAGAGCTTACCCGCCTGGAAGCCGAACAGAAGTTGGAGCAGATCCGTCGGAGTCTCGACGAGAAGGAGAACCAGGAGTATGAGCGCCTGCGGCAGCGAGGTCATGATGCTGAGCTGGAGCTGGAAGAACTGAAGAAGAGGAGGGAAGACAGGCGTAAGCTGCGGGAAGAAGAGGAACAGCGTCGCCAACAGCAGGAACTGGAGCTGCAAGCTAGAGAGGAGGTGGGCATCTTGGAACAAACACTAGAGTCTTTAATGTTGAGGATTAGAGGCATCATCAGTGGTTCAGAGGTAACGTCGCCAACTCTGAGCCACACCCAACAAGGAAATCAAAATGCCCAATCCACAAGTTTGTATTCTTTCACTGTTTTCATCCAGGTACAACTCCTGTTCTCCTTTTGATTTCAGTGCTTTTGAGAAAGTGAAGATAACCCTTGATTCCTATTCTGGATGACTATTGAGTAGCCTCGGTTGCAAACACACAGGTGTGGTCAAGCTTAGCTGAGTTCTTACCCACAATCCTTAGCTCCTGACAGACTTTCAAGATTTAAATGACGCACAGGAAAGTAACTGGTCCCCTATGAGATTATATTACTGTATTCAAATAAGAGCAAATATTGCTCGCAGTCATGCAAACACAAGCAATTTAATGTCTCAGCTTCTAAATGTTGGCATGTCGACTCATGAAAATCACCCGATGCAGCTCTTTTTGCAGCCTAGTTGGGGGTTGCTCCTGTTTAGGTATTCAACACCCAACAAAGGCTGACTCCCAAGGTACTCCATCCTCCCACAGTACTCTCTCTTACTCCCCCCACCCACCTTCCTCCTGAACTTGATCCTCCCTGCTAGCCATTGCAACAACCCTCTGTTGATCTTTGAACATCACATCTGTAACTCCTGGATGTGGTGGATTGTCTGCCATCCCAGCAGTGGCCACTACTCCCACCTTGGGAGCTGGGAACAGAGAACTGCCCAACATCTGATTAGCTAGCAGCTTATGGAGACACGTCTTCCTCTGATAGAGGGGCATATATTCTGTTTGAGCAAATTAATGGCATGACAGCAGTAGAAGTTATTTGGGGAACCTCAGGCAGAGAGATTCAGGTTGGGGGATGGTCTTGGATGGAAATAAATCTTTTGGAATGCTCTGCAAAGAAGTGGCTATTGAACTGATAATCCGAAAAATGTGACATGAGCAAGGAACACCTCCATCCTGCTCCTTTTAAAAGGCTCACGTTAGTTTACATCTACCCTACATATGAAATAAATAAATGAGAAAGAAAGTCTCAAAGCCAGCGTAACATGAAATGCTAGAGGCACAACAAAGTGGAACTGATAATTACAACCCTTTTTACCGACCTGTATACCCAGGAAACTAGCCATTCCACAAAAAGAACTGTCTGTTGTAACATCTGAAACGTGTCTTGGTTCACACTGCAATTTATTGAAATTAATCATTACTTAGTAATTTCTTGCATCTGTACTACTTGCTGAAACTACACTTCCTCTATTTTTATATGACCCAGATACCTGCTGTTCATCCTGCTGCATAAAGACTTGTTGCATCTGAAGTTAAGCAGTGTGCAGCAGTCTATGATTTTCTGAATTGTAGAAAAACACAACTGTTCAGCCTTCACCTGAGCATGCTAATGGTATGCACCTTCTTCAATTGGCGTGTTGCTGCTTGCTATTCCTTAATATTTCATAGGACATTTATCCAAGACTTTAGAAGAAGCTTGCATCTTTAGCAGCCATATGAATAGCCTTTCAAATTATTGGGCACTGTGCATTATTAGACAATCAAAGCACCATAGTTTGGTGCTACAGTGATGGCAGATAATATGCAAAAATCCAGGGTTGAGTTTTTTTTTTACAATTGTATTGAATTATTTTAAGGAAGAAAGCAAAGTGGAGGGGGTAGAAATTTTCAATTAGCTCAATTGTCAGAATCAGGGTTTTAAAATTTCCCAACTATCCTACGTTTAAAGCTGGCTTAGAGCTATAAATGCCACACCATCACCACACATTCCATCCCGCGATTACTTCCGCAGAGTGAACCACCCAGCCATGACATCAGGCATTGGGGAACTCAACTCCCACCATCCCCCCACGAACCCAACACCGACCACTGCTCTCCGCCTCCTCCCACTCCTTTCAAGATCCTGCTTCAAAAAAATCAATCTCTTTTGAATATGCATTTAGTTACACATGCTATGTATCCTCTCATTTGGCCCAGTGTTGCTTTACGCCCAATGACTGTGCACTGCAGTCAAGCATCCTGGAACATTTTGCTAATTTAAAGGCACTGTCAAAATTAATTTGTTGTTCAATTGCGTTAATTGTTTGTTTGAACTAGCTTTTGGTTGATTTGATTTATTTATTGTCGCGTGTATCTTGTCACAAAGTACAGTGAAAAGTGTCATATAGTTTTGCCACTCCCTGGCACCACCTTACAACACAGAGAAATAAAATAAAACATAGAATCTAAAGGCAGAAAAAATGAAGAAATAAAGAAAGTGTCCAACTTAGCAGCATTCTCATTGCCTCCTGGGACATTTGAGAAAATGGCAGTTGTAGGTCCGATAGTGAGTTACGTGGGAAGGCTGATCCAATCTGGTGTAGTAGAATATTGCAGTTCTAACAATTCGACTGTCTTTTCAATAATTCTGTCATGTTTAGGGTGCATTTTTCAATGATTAACAGTGATTGTGAAATATTACAAAAAAGGTATTTAAAAAAGCAAGTTACAATAATTTGTTAAAGGAAGTGTAATATTGCGCATTAGAAAGAATACAGTTTTTGACTGGCAAATAGATTTTAAAAACCACTGCTTTGTTGTAATTTGAAAATTGTATTTTTTGAGGTGTCAGCATTGCAGCTATAGAATTGTCGGTCATGTGGTGTGGGGTAGTAAATATAAATAAATATTGTCCGCCTGCAGGAAGAGAAAAGAAGAATGAGAGAAGAGAGAGAAAAACGGAGGATGGAGGCAGCAGAGAAACGTCAGAAAGTTCTTAGTATTTCAGGTAGTGAAATGGAGGATCCATTCATTCCCCTCAGTCCCAAGAGCCCAACATTTAAGGTAAGGATTTCTGATGGGCATTGAAATTGTATACTATATATTTTGTTTCACTTTGCCACTGTGTGGGCAAAGTCCGAGATACATACCACTTGCTTTGCCATGTAATGCTTTCAGGGGAATATGCAGGAGAGATTTTACCTCAGTGACATGGCATTAAAACAGTAATGTATTTGGATAAAAGGCACAGTTTGGAGGCGGTAACCTGCGTCATTTTAGGCCCTCGTTTACATTGTCTGGACACTAACCTTATAGCCACATGGAATTAAATCACACTGTAAATATTTCTGTACGATTGAATGCACGTTATGTTGCTGTGCAATGATATTTGCAATATACAGGTTGCTCTTGACCATGTGGAGTCCAGCTCGATGTGTGAGATGACTTTACATTTCATTGGCTAATGTGATTCGATAAGACCAGGAATTCTCATTTGGACAAGCCACCAGATTCCCCTGCCTCTATGGAGCTATGCTCCAGTGTTAATAGGTGTCTCTTGGAGAACTAAGGTGAACTTTGAGGAGGGCAAAATGCAGAGTAGCAAAATAAGTAGGATAAAATCAGCAATAACTTATAACTATTGTATTAGTTTTACTTTTGAAAAATGTTCAGCATGAATTATCACTTTTCCATGTGGTGAAACTATATTAAACAACTTATGTTTGTGTTGTGTGCCCTTCACATCTGCAGACCTGAATGTCATTTGAATTTCTCTATCATTTTGTCTTTCTATTACTCTTTCCTGTAAGTTGCACTGTGTGTACGCACGATAAGCTTATCTTCTGGGCGCACATTCAGATAAAGGCTGAGCATCTTCACTGTTCTTAAAGCTGCAGTAAACTCTTGTGACAGGCTGAAAACCACTGAGAGGAGTTTGGAAACAGAACTTGTATTCAATAATTCTTTTCTGAAAGATTCAACTTTAATGCTGTTAAATATTTGGCTACTAACTTGAAGTCTACAGCATGATGAGCTATGTATCCTAATCTCCAAACTGAATGTAAGCATGACTGAACAATTTTGTAATTCTCCCAGTCGGGGCCCTAAGGTTAAGAATATTCCCTGGATAACGTGCTGGGGCTGCATCCACCCATGGAACTGTATATCAATGTAGTCCCTCAATGACAGGTAGATAGAAGTGTTTGGGGAAATTCTCACAGAAGATCTTGTGTGCCTCTGGTAAGGTGGGATGGGGGAGCGAGGTGGAAGAAACAAATTACAAAGCAAAGGAGACTTTAGTGTATGAAGGTCAGTTAAAGTAGACTGTCTGTGTTTAGGGAGCCAGCTATTCTGATCAACTGTTCTGCTTGTAAACATGTGAGACAGTCAAAATGTTGGTATCAGCAGTCAGCCAAACCTCCTTTAAAGGCTAGCTATGAGTGAGGCCAAGCCAGTGCACTCAGAATGTTTTTATACTGTTGATTTGCATCAGCCCTTTCCTCAACATCTGGGAAAGCAATTAAGTTTGACAATAGCCAGCACTGGCTGATGTCTAACACCACAGGATAAGATAATTTTGGTGCAATCACCATAATATGTCAACAATAATGATTGTAAAATTCATTAATTCTTCCTTTTTCTTTCATCACAGTACTACAGAGTGTACTCATAATTAGGTACAAAGGAGAATGTCAGGGAAGTTGGTATTTGCTGAGAGCTGTTATCTTAAGGGGAAGAAAAGGGGCAGAAAAAATACAGGGTCATCACATGGCAAGAGTAAGGATCTTGTAGGAGTTAGAATGGCCCGTTGTTACAGGATCCTTTTATATCTGATTGTGTTCTCTGCCTCCAATGACAGATTAACATGGCTTTTTGACTTTCTATTTTTCCACAGCACTACAACAACATGAAAACAACAAAGCAGACACACTCATATGCTCATACAT